CAGATGCTATCTGTAAATCACATGATTCAAGAAGGTGGAAGCTGTGAGAAAAAACACCTCCAATAATTTTATCATTAGATATGAACAAGACTTTCTCTGAAAGAGAAAGTATGGAAAGAAACAAAAAAAAACCTGAACACACAAAGTCATAGATTCCTCGCCTCCTTCACATAAGCATATCTCCAGCACTCAATCAGTGATAGAGGCAAATCAATAAAGCTTACAAATGACACCAAATCCCAAATTATGACACTGAATCCCAAGCCTGCCTGCTAAGACATGCCACCAGGCAGTTTGTTAGGATGCCAGCTGCTTTAGTCTGTTCAGACAGACAACAGCCACTAACAAYACCTCAAGAGTCACACTTGTAATTAGCCCCCTTTTGTCATCAACGATGGATGGAAAGACAGACAAACTGCACTTAATTACACATTACTCAGTGTAATTAAGATTTTGATCACTTAACAGACTTACACTCCACATTTCAATCTTCCAAGTGTGAATCCAGATTTTAAAAATGCATTTGAAATCTGTGGGTGATCATTTGAGCTATGAACACCAATAGTAAATCTGACAGATTCCTCCTCCTCCTCTTTGTAGTGTTTTAGTGAAGCCTATTCTCAAATTATAAACAAACTTTATCCATCAAAACTGAAGCAGTTTTCAGACACCTACCAGCGGATTCCTAAACAATTTAGGATTAACAATATTAGAACCTACCTTTACAGGTTGATATAACCTCGAACTGTGTGTCCAGAACAGCAGCTGTTGATTCAACTCTATCTGCAGCAAGGATGAAGTGCTGTCCAGTTGTTGCACATTTTACAATGGAGTATCTGCAATGCAAACATGCATTTGTGATACTAAACAAACAGCAAAACTTTACCCATTTTTGAAATGCTTTGTCTCTAAAAGACAGACAAATATATTTTACATCTACAATTCACTCACAAATCTCAAAAGAGTTTCAAGGTAACTTTGCATCATGGAGAAGAAATAATTTTAAAAAATTGAAGCAGAAATTAATATATTAGTAGATATAGAACAAAGCTTACAATTGCATCACTTAAAAAATCAACCAAAAAAACCCCAAACAAAACCAACCAAACAAACCACAAAAAAGATGCCTTAAGTAAACTGTAATGGCAGTCCAGAATGTTGTAATTTTGCTGCTAAATATCAGTAAGGACTGACAGACATCACTGAATCAAGTGAAAAGACACCTACGCTGAATCTGGCATGTAACAAACTGCTTGATTGGCTGGCACAGTCCAAGGTTGCGTAGTCCAGACTAGCACACTAGCAGGGGATGATCCATCTACAGATGTAAATTAGAAGCACTTTACTCACAGTTATAACAAAAATCAAAGCAATCAATCTTTAAAGCTACAGAGAAGCTGTACCTATCACAGAAGACAGCTTAGGAGGCGACTTCAGCAGCGGAAATTTCATGTACACGGAGCGACTGATGTGCTGCTCGTTGTACTCGAGTTCTGCCTCAGCCAAGGCTGTTCTGGTACACATCAAACACAAGTTACACACTGCAACATCAAAAGCTATGGGTATCCTTGCTAAAACTTTSAAGACAAAATAGTAAGTTGATTCTTACTTTGTTGAAGGGGACCAGAACACAGGTTTATAGTCCTGATAAATTAAACCCTACAGAGGACAGGGAAGGAAAAAAGAGAAGTTAGGAGAATCAAAACTCCTGAAAAATCAATACAGACTTCAACAGAAGTTCAACATACCTTATCATACATCTTGTAGAAGACTCTCAGCTGGTTTGCTTCATACTTTGGGTCAAATGTAAGGTAGCAGTTGGCCCAATCTGCCATTACACCCCAACGAATGAAGGCAGATTTCTGCTTCTCAATTGCTTTTTCTGCAAATGCTCTGGCTGAAGGGAATAGTTCCATTAAGCACATGATTTAGCATACTAAGATCAATAAAAATACCATTTAAAATGTACTATTGATGTTTTTTTAGCAAAGCCAGCGCTGAACATAATGAAGCTATGCCCTAATTACTCTGGTTCAAAATACATACATTTCAGATTGGTTGTTAAAAAAAAATTACTGCAAAGAGTAAAGAGAACCAAAAGTGGCGCTTGCTGACTAATACAGACTTAATTTGACTAATTAAGCACACGTCTTTAGAATATAAACTTTACTTTTAAGAAAGAGGGGGAAATATGTTTTGTTACAAAGAAAAATTTCTCAAAATAAGTTCTCAACATAAAATTAGAAAGGTAACTTCCTCTGTTGATGCTAATCCAAAACTTTCCAAGTAGCATTTGAAACTAAGATAGCTCCTTTCACTACCACAAATTCAAATTTAAGAAGTTTCAAGCAGTTTTAAGCTCATAACAAAAACTTTGCAGCTGAATTATGTCTTTCAACCCATACTGTATTTGAAATGATTTMTTCAGAACATTCTTCAGAACATATATTTCCATATAATGCAGACTTTCTCCAAAAGGATCCCTCTACAGTTTTGTAGAATTGTTAACACAGCCAGCAAATACATTCCTATTTAAGATACTGAGCCAAGCTGTCCTAAAGGAGCCTGAGTTTCACCTGCATCTTTTCAGCTCCTAATCAAATTCAGCCTTCAAAAACCAAAAGGATGCTGATAAATACCAGCTGATAAATACCAGCTTCCTGCCACTATACAGTTAACCAAACCAGACATTAAAATCCTCTGCCCTCCTTTTGTTTTTTTTTCAACCCAGGGTCAGTGCTCTGCATGTCCATGACAGCAACAAATTAAGCCTGTGTGAAATTATCCCATTGCATCAGATTCCAGCCTGCTCTTTCTGCTTGGCAAATACACCCAGAGATCATAGAAAATACCACCAATAGCTACTAGAGAAKGCCACAATGAAGTCTAAAAGCTATATAAAGCATAAAATACAAAATATAAGTAGGGTATACAAATTGTTAAGCCAGTCTTTTTCATAAAGATACTGCAGACAGTAGTTTATTCACCTCTCTGCCGAATTTCCATTGGTGAAAGATTTTCAGCTCCTCTGACTTCTGACAGTGCCTTCAACTCAATTGGCAATCCATGACAATCCCATCCTGGCACATAATGTACTTTATAACCTCTCATCACATGGAAGCGATTGGTGATATCTTTCAATATCTGAAAAGCCACAAGGGTCTGTTATCACTTTAGCTCCCCCATGTGGAACAGCCACATTTGCAATTWAGCTCCTCCCATTCAAAAACCACAAACATCAACACTGCAGGATAATTTTATATTTACAACCAGAGAAGCTGTGGGTGCCCCATCCTTGGAAGTGTTCAAGGCTAGGTTRRATAATGMTCTGAGCAACCTGGTCTAGTGGAATGTGTCCCTGCTCATAGCAGAGAATCTGGAATTAGATCATCTTTAAGGTCCCYTTCAACTCAAACCACTCTGTGATCCMAAGACCATGCATTTTTTATTTTTCTGGCCTATCATTTTGTACATTGGCAGAATCTTAAAAGACCTCTCATCCAAGGAGTTCATACAAGCAGTGTAACTGAGTGGTGCAGTTTATAAACTTGCAAGACTTGAAGTGAACAAATCTGACTCACTCTCATTTTTAAAACAAAAAGTGCTGGACCTACAGCACTGGCCTAGTGCACATTGCTKCAGCCCAAGCCCCAGCACTGGGACTGTAAGAAGCTGTGGGAGACATTTGAGYCTTTCTCACTTTGTGGCCAATGTAATGCAGGGAATTTCAGGACTGAATCTAAATGAACACTCAGCATTCAGTAAATGATATTTATGTCAGGGTATGGTATCTATGTCAGCATGGCAAAATATGGCACCCACATAAACCATACCATTGGCTTTTTAAAAACTCCAGCTACCAAAACCCAAAACATTTTAAAGTGTTATTTATTTAAAAAGGAGTGGAGAACACAGAGCACACCACAGTCTTTACCACCTCAAAAGAGTAGAGAATTAACAAGTAAATATTTACTTTATTTAATGCATGGCCAACATGAGGGTCTCCATTGGCATAAGGTGGTCCGTCATGCAGACAAAATTCCTGCTTTGCTTTCCTTTGCCTTTGCCATGAGTACAGYTCTGAAAAACCACATTTCTGTAGAGACAACAAGAAAAAGATCAAAACCATCACAAGTCTTTGCAATTCCAAAAAGCAGGCAGGCAAATACACTTTTCTAACTTTTCAAGAGAAGACATCAGTGGGTTTAAAGTACATAAAACCCCGAAGGAGGTGATATATTAGGCCTGACTGTCTTGGCACCCCACTATCCGGAGGGTCGTTACTCTTCTCCAAGTAAGACTGCAACAAATTTATAACTATCCAAACCATAAATAAACACCTCAAGAGCCCGAGCTTTTCTAACCCCGCACGGCCAGGCCAGCTGAGAGCCCAGACTCGCCTCAAGTTCTCTCTGCACGGCGGGACCGAACACAAACCCCGGCGGCCACACCCGCCCCACTCCCGGCCCGGGGCTCGCAGCGCCCGAGGCAGCCCCACGCCCCTCCCGGGAATAGCAGTCCCGGGGAACCAGCCCGGCCCCGGGGACACCAGCCCGGCCCCGGGGGCACCAGCCCGGCCCCGGGGGCACCAGCCCGGCCCCGGGGGCACCAGCCCGGCCCCGGGGACACCAGCCCGGCCCCGGGGGCACCAGCCCGGCCCCCGCCGCACCTGCTGCGTCTCCAGCTCTGTCTCCGGCTGCAGGCGCCCCGGGAGCTGCGCGGGGAAGCGGCTGCGCGGCAGCAGCACCGTGTCCCGGTAGCGGGAGTCCTCCCGGCTCTCGGCCGCGGCCTCCGAGGCGGCGGAGCGCGCCCATCCCCGGGCGGCCCCGGCCCGAGCCCGCGCCAGCGGCGGCGCC